ATTCTTGGGGTTTATATAGTCTACGGGGTCTTCCTGTCTACGTAGCAAAGCGGGATACAGAAGCGGAATGCGGTAATTAATTCTATCTACGGGGTAGAAGCAGAGTACAAAGGCTAAATGTGAAAATTAGTTCTATCTATGGGGGTGCCAGCCCCAGTCCTTGTGACTGTCCTGCTATTTGCTTTTCCCAGTTGGCCTTATCACTCTCCCAGGGCGCCTGGGGTTTTGGGTGAGCAAAGGTCTCCTAGGGCTTCTCCCTTCACCAGGACTTCTCCCCCAAGTAGCTGTCTTCATGGGGCAGGAATTACAGACACCGGCTTGTCCAGCTTTGCACCCGTACATACTTGAAACCAGAGAAGGCTCCCTCTCGTTAATCCCAGTCATAAAATTTCAGAGGAAGCCTTCTAGCTGGTGGGCATGGTGCCCATGTGCATCCCTGTCACTCCCTTCTGGAGAGGAGACTGGGGACAAAGGTTCACCCAGACTTAGTCAGGGTGCCTCCTGCTCTGACCTGGGAGTGGGGTGTCATAATTAGCACCCCCCCCCATGAGGGCCCCTTATTGGCTTTGGAATAGAGAAGAAGCAGGGCCCCTTAAGAAGAGGGTATAATCTTAGAAGGGATTCCAGAGAGACAGACCAAACAGGTATTGCCCGGACAGTTTTTCAGAGCCTGTAGCTAATAACATTCACGCTGTGTTGTGATTATGCATTTGAACATGCCTTTCGTACCAGAGCCTGAGCTCCCGGAGTCCTGCCTTGCTGTCTGCCTGCCCTGTCTGCCTGCTGTCGACCCCCAGACCCCAAGGGGTGCCTCGCGCCAAGTTGACACTTAGCTAATGTTTGTTTAATGTGAATTAACAAATGGATAGCTCTCCAATGTTGTGTGAGTAAAATATCCAGGGAACATAATTATAGAATTTTATAGTGCTTTGAAGTTAGTTAAATGAAAGTTTATAGAACCCTTATAATTAAAAGTTCATTGAGTGATTTGAGATTTAACTAAAACACAATAACCTCTGAAATATAACTAATAAGGGTTGAGTTCATACTGTTACCGTTTTTACAAAAGCCACTTAATCTTCACAAAAATCCCATGAGTTCTAGGACTTACCACTATTTCATAAATTAAGAAGATGACGTTAAGAGGTCCTTGGGTTTCCACAAACTCTCACTGGTTATACGCTGCAGAAAAGAAACAAAAACTCGGGCTTGCTGATACCACATTTGTTGCTATGCTCTTAAGCAAATTATTTAACCTCTCTGAGTAAAATAAGGAGAGTAACACTTATTTCTGAAGATTGTTATTTCTGAAGATTAGGGAATCAATAGATAATAACCGTTACATTTGTTGGGTTGTTGGAGGACTTCCCAAGGATTTCTGACTGTATGCATCTCCGGATGTATCCGTGTCCAGTCCTCTTCCTTGTTCCACACCCTAGGGACTCATCCCGCACTTTTCTCCTTTTTAGTGCTGCTCACTCTGCCTCGGGGATGTTCTATAGCCACCAGGACTGGCTATGGGACAGGTAACACGCTCCTGGGCTCTCCCACCCTCGCTGCAGCTGAGCACCCAGGCCCCTTTCACTGCCCCAAGCAGCTTAACCCTAGTGCAGGAATTATACCAACAACCATAAGGACACATGGATCCCAGACCTTGTTCTGCATCATTTTGCACCACTGTTCTCTCAAGTGTGAAATAAGGGTGGTGGACCGGAGAAATTTCTATATTAAAGTTTGTTATGCAAAGGATATTTTAGTGAAAATATTTTCACTGCAGAGTCAAGCAATTGCTCCATCTCAGAAAAAAAAAAAACGTTTTAAATATTTTTCTATTAACCAAACATGTCAGTGTTGGTCTTGCCTAAGCTTGTCAGATCCACTGCTGTCCCTTTGAGCTCTTCCTTCTTTCTCCACTTCTCAGCAGAGGTTACATGCCTGCAGCGCATATTTACAATTATCTCCCCAGTAGAGATTCTAGCAAAAGCAGAAGCAAAGAGGACAGAGGAGAAATTGCATGCTGACATTTCTTTCAAGCGTAGGAGACCATTCTGTGTGACGTGGGCCCAGCCCCTAGTGGCAAACATTTTCTGCAAAATAATTTCCTAAAATCCATGCTAAACCTTCCAAGGATGAGAGTAACCAGTTCAACCACTTTTGCCTTTTCATTTGCAAGTATCCTTCTTCTGTGATGTGATTACCAGCATCCTCTCCTTTGTTTTCTGTAAAAGGTAACCACCTAAAGCAACCTGTGCATAGTAAACAAGGACCATCTTGTAATGTGCCAAAAATCCCAATGAAGGCCTCTCATGGCAAGGGCCGAGGCTTTTGCTCCCCTTGAGAGAAAAGTTATGCTGTCGCTTCTCCTACACCAGACTCAGTAGTCCGTGTGAATGTCTCCTTTCATCCATAATGACACAGACAGTGCGGGTTGGTGTCCGCATCACTTCAGGCTCACTGCCTAGACCTCGCCCGACCTATTGCTTTCTCATTAGTCCCACTGACTGAATCTGTGGGACTAATGAGATTCAGTTTTGGCAACATGGGAGCCCACAACCAGTGTTTATTTTCATGGCTAATACAACCATCCCCAAAGATATCCTTAGATTCAAAAGATTAACTCCTTTCTCTGGAAGATTCACCATCTACGAAGCATCGTGACATGACGGACATATATTTCTTAAACAATTTATGAAATTGAATTGATTCTTTTCATCATCATAAAACTTTCAGATATTGGCTGTTAAAACATAGAGCGAAAAATTCTTAATAAATATGAATGTGATGTTTGTGAACTTATTGTTTTCTGAGTTAGTGAATCAGCTCCTGGAATAAATATCATAAGTAATGAATAAAATCCAGAATTCGATGCTATTGCACATTCAGAACGCGGTTCAGCCTCACAGTCTCACCAGGGCCACTGGCAATAGAGTCACCCACCACTTAACACGATGCGAATAGTTCCGAGAAATAAACATCATTAGGCAATTTTGCTGCTGCTCCAACATCATGCAGGGCCCTCATCCAGTCCTTGGTGGTCGAGCCTACAACACACCTAAGCTGTGTGGTCCAGCCGATGGCTGCTGGGCTGCAAGCCTGTGCAGCATGTTCCTGGACAAAACAATAGGAGATTGAAGTCAGCACAATATATGAGGCTGCTGTTTCACAGCAGACTTTTTTATACGTAGAAAGATTCCACTCTCAAGTAATGATAAAACGTATGGTATGGTAAACACAAAATTAGTAACATAGTTGCTTATTATCATGATCAAGTACTATGTGCTATAGCAACTGGCAGTGCAGTAGTAGGTCTGTGTACACCAGCATCCCCACAAACACGTGAGTAATACATTGCAAAAATCCAGCGTTTCAAAGGCTATGACATCACAATTGCTGCCCACACTAGGCTACAGGAGTTTTTCAGTTACATTGTTATCTCATGGGAGCACCATCACATGTGTGGTCCACTGTTGACCAAAACATCATCATGTAATGCATAACTGTGTAGAATCGGTCATATTTTATGTTTGGTCCCCAAAGTACTCTTGCTTCGCAAACTGGCCAGGAACCTCCCAGGTATAATGGGAAACTAGCAGATGCCAGGCATTGGTCCTGGAGCCGGATACACAGCTTGAGATAAGATACAGTCTCTGTCTAGTGTGCCTAGAGTAGGGTGAACACAATTAAGCCTATTAAATGTTAAGGCAGCATTCAACTGTTCAGGTGAGATAGTCTTTAAAAGTCCTAGGACCTGTAAAAACCAGACTTCTAAAAATAAGCAAAGAAGAAAAAATTTCATACATTCTAGGTCTGTGCAGTTTCTTTTAGGGTAGCGATAGGTATTATGTGCTTGGTTTGTCTGCTGACGATATGTGTGGGCTCAGGGGCATGGACAACAGAGTGGCGATTGCAGAGGGGGGAGGGTCATAAGGGGGATAAATGGTAATAGAAAAAACACAATAAAAATAATGACAAAATTTAAGAAGAGAAAATAATAATACGATTGCATGCGGTCATTTGGATATTAACTGAGATGATTGTGTTTATAGACTGCCCGGCTGAGCCTCTGGATCCCTGTGAGTCAGTAACAAGTTGCAGCAGTTTTTCTGTCCCAGTTTCAGAGAAGAGAAGTCTGAGGTTCAGAGTCATGAAATGACTTGTCCAGGCTCCTGCACACCTAGGGGATAAATTAAAAACAAAGCAGAAAATGGTACAAAGTATATGAGTCTGGCATGAGACCAGAGAGCAGAAGGACTGATTCTGCCGGTAGAGCCTGAGAAAAAATTAGGAAGAGCTATTTAAACCAACTACACAAATGATTTTTCAAATACTGTCCATAAACACTTACCTGGAGACTAGGGGCAAAGTTTCCAGTCCGCTAACTGCCGACTTTCCCATATACACTGTGGATCCTTGGTCTGGTCCCTTCTTCAAAGACCATCTTAGCTTCGGTTATTAAGAGCTGGCAAAACATTAATGAGGAGAATTGTAACAGGTTTTTCAGTGCTGGCTTTTATTTTTTTCAGAGCTGACGAGTGAGAAGTGAGGGAGGAAATAAGGGCCTTCAAACAGTCTTCTAGAATTCTTCCAGGACTATCACAGCATCTCTCCCTCCAAAGTAAAACAAGGAGCTTCTTCAAACCACACAGCTTCTGTAGCGGAGCTGAAAACAAGGGCTTCTCTGGAAGTTGAATGCCAATATGATTTTCATCCATTCATTATTTGCTCATTTCCATGATGGTTATTTTGTTTATTACATGACACAACCCATGAACTGGAAGCACCTTTTCAATGCAGAAGAGTCCTCAAAGTAAAACCCCAAGACAATCATGAGACATAAGAGATTTAATCTCTTTTTCTGCCTTTTCTTGTATACTATACAATTCTATTTTACAAAGTAATGCTTACCACAACATTAGTTTTGGAAAAATTACCTCAGTGTAACTTTATTGCCAATGATCTGAATTTGACCTCCATTTCGTCTTTTCTCTTTTCTTAAACAGAATGCCACGACATTCCATGTAACTGTTCAAGATGATAATAGCATCGTTGTCTCTTTAGAAGCTTCAGATGTCATGAGTCCATCATCTGTGTATGTCGTGAAGATAACTGGTGAATCCAAAAATTACTTCTTCGAATTTGAGCAATTCAACAGCACTTTGCCTCCTCCTGTTATCTTTAAGGCCAGTTATCATGGCCTGTATTACATAATCACTCTGGTGGTGGTAAATGGACATGTGGTTACCAAGCCATCCAGGTCAATCACTGTGTTAACAAGTAAGCATCGTGCGTAATATTGTCCTTTGTGTTTAGTATTTGCGTGTATTCTTATGAAACCCCAATTAAAAGAAAAATCAGCCCAGAATGGCAAGATCAAGTGAAGTCAAATAATACACATTCTTCTTGAAGTCAAGTCACATACATTCAAGGTTCTGTTTTATATTAATATAGTTTCTTGCTGAAATTTAATAATATTTTACTGTTGCATCATATTTAAAATGTTTAAAACTAAAAGAAAGTAAACCTGAATGAGGTATTTTAAGACTGACTGACAATTTTAGATTCATGATTGGACCATGTAATTTTCTATTACTTAATAGTACAATCATAATTAAGTTATTTTTGCCATAACGCACATTCTCATATTAAGCAGTTTGGTTTTTGAAACATCGATTTACACTCATATTTAGCCTTCTCAAATTCCATTTTACATTTTCAGCTGAGAGGAAAAAAATATCAGGATTTATCAGCTCTATTCCCTGTCATATCCTCATTATAGCCTTGGCATCCAGCATCCAAGAAAAAAATGCCAAAAAAAACCAAACTCATTGGCATTTAACCTTCAGTAGTCCATGCCTTAAAGAGTTAATGCTGATATTAGGAACTTTTTTAGGAGTAGTTTTAACTATGATGTTCACTTTACTCTGACTCTAGTACCTAATTTCCAAGTAAGATGTCATTCTACTGTATGTATTAAGGTGTAGAAGAAAAGCCGTTATCTATGACATGGTAGAGTTAGTCACTGCAGCAATTTAATGGCTCAACAAAGTTCTTTTTGCTTATTGTTCTTCAGTGCAAATTTTTCAGCAGCTGCAATTTTTATAATACCAACTATATGTGATCATTCTATCAACTATGTTTTTAAAAAGGACATGTTTTCTGTTGGAGTAAAGGAGAAAAACGCCAACAAGCAAGAACTCAGAATCAAGCTAGAGGACATATTTTTTAACATGTCTATAAAAATTAATTGAAATTTCTCTTGGCAGAGTCCCAAGATCTATATCGAGTCCTAAGAATTAGGAAAGGCACAGACCCAAGATGTTCAATGTTTATAGATATAATGAACCAAGGCAGGGACCTAGTTGAATTGAAGGAAGAACTTGCCTGGTAAAATACTGTCTTAAAAAAGTTCCATGAAAGGTAAACTGAAAGACAATAGATCCAGGCAGCAGATGTAGGCGTGCAGTACCCATAACACAATTCCTTGAAATCAGAAGCTTTGCTTTACTCATTCTCACAACTTCATAAACATCTAACATAAACCTTATGCTTACCAGGTGACCAGTAAATATTAATTCAATTTACGTCAGCAAATAATAGGAGAAAGAGCCAGAAAAGAAAAAGAGAAAATGCAAGACAAAATAAACCCCGTAGTGACTTGCTGACTCAACATTCATTAGCACGCCCTCAAACACTCTTGATTGGACAAAGCCAGAGTTAGCTGATGGTTCATAAAGAAATTTGATATATATTTGATTAGAGGATTTCTGGAATATCTCATTGACATTTTAGCACATGCAGTGAGTTCTATTTAAAATACTTTCTATTTTCCTTTATCATTTCATCTTTGTGGGCTTGGCAGTGCGTTGCTGAAAGAGCAAAAGTGTGGTGACTTTGCAGAAATCTTTTTATTGATTCTTAAGTAAGTGCTGTTGTGGTCAGAGAATGTATTTTGTGTGATTTTACTAACTTGAAACTTATTGAGATTTGTTTTATGGCCCCAAATATAGTGTATATTGTTGTATATGCTTCGAGTACTTGTTGGGCAAATTTTAATAAATGTCAGGTCAGGTTGACCGTTCAACTCTTCCATACGCTCCCTGCTCTTCCGTCTACGAGTTCTAACAATGCCTGATGGAGGAGTGAGAAAGCTTCCACCCATGTCTGTGGATTTGTCTACCTCTCCTTTCACTTAGTTTATGTTTTCACATGTTTTGCAGCTCTGTTCTTACATTGTAGGTGCAAGTACTCTTAGGATTACTATGTCTTCTTGTGGAGCCGCCGAGCTTTTCATCCTATGCAATGTTCTTCTTTATCTCAAGTAATATGCCATGTGTTGAAGTCTATTGTGTCTGCTCATAACATAGACCTTAGTTTTCTTTTATGTTGTCACGGTATACTTGTTCTGTCTTTTTACTCTCAATCTACTTACATCTTTGTGGGTTTCTGGTGGACTGCATAAAGTTGGGTCTTGCTTTATTCCAATCTGGCAAATCTCTGCCCCTTAACTGAGGTGTTTAGATCAGCACTATCCAATAAAAATAGAATGTTGATCACATATGTAATATTATGTTTTCTGGTAGAAAAATTTAAAAACTTTTCAAGGAGGTGAAATTAATTTTGTTTAACCCACGGTTTATTTAATCCATTGCATTCAAAATATTATTTTAATATATAATATAAAAGTAAAGTAAAATAATGCTTTTTTAAGTTTTAACATAAATTAATTAAAGTTAAGTAAGATTAAAAATTTACTTTCTCAGTTACACTAGCCTCATTTTGAGCCTTTCGTGGCTGGTGGCTACCAATTTTGATTGTGGAAGTTCAGTGCATTTATACCTAATGTAATTATTTCTGTCGTTAAATTTAAATCTACAGTGTTACCAAACCATTTGTGTGGGAGGTTGAGTGGATCTAGCCAGTAGTTGAACTGGGTTTAAGGTACTAGTCATCCTCAGCTCCTCACAGATTTGACGTTGCTCAGCTGTAGTGCAGCAGGGTGGAGGGTCTCTCCCGGTGCTCCGGTTTCAGCCGCAGCGCTCAGCGAGTGCTCAACTCCTGCCCCACAGAAAGGCCCCATCATTCGACCCCTCCCCCAACAATGGAATACTAGTGCTAAGATTTTGGTTGGGGATGAGGGAGATTCTTGGTTCTCCTGAACCAGCCTCAAGTCTAGGCAGACCCTGTGATCCCAAGTGAGACATTCTTAGCATTCCTGCTCCTCGTATAAACGGACACACCCGTGGAAGGTCTGGAGCTGGTTTCCTGCCTCTTCCTGGGAAAGCAGCAGAACGCCGTATCAGTGTGCCATGAATGGGGCCAAGCATTTCTGCCCCGTCCTGGGACCTGACGTCTTATACTTCTGCCAGTCCCTTAGGCGTGGCGTGCCTTTGTCTGAGAAATGGGAGGGCGCATTTTTTTCTGTCCCCGCCCAAAACCTTAATGCTTTTGCTTTGCATAAAGAAAGGTCCTGGGAACTAAGTAAGGTTTCTCTCTGGTCTCTTGGTGACACCAGTTATCTCCTGCACGCCTGTGGCCCAGTGGATGGCTCTCTTGCCCTCAGTATTGCCCCTTAGCCCCCGATGAAGGCCCATGCAAGGAGCCAGAGAGAGCCTGCGAACTCCCAACCGCTCTGAACCGGCGCTGTCCTAGAACTTTCCGTGATGGGAATGTTCCATATCTGCATTATCTAGTACAGTAACCACTAATGTTTATTTTTATTTTTTATTGTTCAGTTACAGCTGTCCCCATTTTCCCCCATTACTCTCTCCTGCCCTACCCCCTACCTTCTACATTCATTTCGGCCCCCCCACCACGTTGTCTGTGTCCATGGGTCCTTTATACATGTTCCTTGACTTGACCCTGGTTTTATTTAATTTTGATTGATTTATCCAGACATGTAATTTAAACAGCCACAGGCGCTAGTAACTAAGTTATTGGACAGAGCAGTTCTAAACTCTCATTTTGAACATATTCATCCTTATGAATGTATTAAAATCTTAGTCATTTTCTTCCTTCCTTCTTTGTGCCCCCCTCTTCCTACCCTTTCTGCTAAAGGTGAAATAGTGTGTCCCTTGTGTCCTCAGAGGAGCTTGTCACTCCTTGGAATTTACTTAATTTGGTTGCCTTGCAATCTCACCTTTCTGATAGATGCCAGAAAAGTTACGATCTCCTGAGTTATTTGGCTTTTTCTTCTCATTGTTGGGTGTTGGGAAATGAGACTGACTTTCAGCTTTCTATATCCTAAGCTGAAGAGGAAATTGGCCTACATTTCTAAAAACTAAAAATGAATGGGGTTTGTTGCCTCTCCTCTTCTACCCCATTTTTAAAGTCTCAATTACATCATCTCAGATTTCAAAAAGGATGATAGGTTGGAAACACAAACACTGTGTCGATCAATGCACAAATATTTCTATGACATTAGGCATGAGGTAACATTTGGGGCTCAGCTTTCTCTTCATAAAAAGAGAGATTTAAAACATATTAAGGCCCTGGCTGGTGTAGTTCAGTGGATTGAGCGCGGGCCTGAGAACCAAAGGATTGAGGTTCAATTCCCAGTCAGGGCACATGCCTGGTTGCAGGCCAGTTCCCAGCAGGGGACACAGGACAGGCAACCATACATTGATATTTCTCTCCTTCTCTCCTTCCCTTCCCCTCTAAAGACAAATAAATGTAAAAAACTAAACAAATTATTAAGATTACTTTTGAGCTCTAAAATTATTATTATTTTTCATTAATGATGGAATTTTGCCATCTTTATTTTTCTAATGAAAAGTTTTCTTTAAAAGTTTAGGAAACATCTGTAGTATCTACTCACAGAGTTGCCACATTGCTCTTGAGGTTAAAAGGGTAAATTGTCTTGATGAAATAAGCATTGACCGAAGCAGTTGGCCCTGGGGCACTCCTTTGATATTTCTCCATAGTTGTTCTGAGACTGGCCCTCTGGGAGAAAGCTGAGAAACTGGGCAAAGAATAAATTTAACACAAATACACTGGCCAGTTCAAAAGAATTTCACAGCCCTTAGGCTCTGACATCTGATTAATATGTAAATGGTTGAGAACTTTCAGTCTATTGTGTACACTTCAGAGAGAAGAAGTGGTTTCTTAACAGATGAAATAACACAGGAAAACAATTGCTTAGAACTTGGGGAAATACTATTTACACACAACTGTCTCCTTTGTTAGTAGTCCTGGGCAGAGTGTCCGCACACACTGCAGAATACATGGAGACACTCCACAGATAAAATAGTCTACACAAATGTATCTATTATAAAGAA